GGGTCTAAATACAGCACAAACAACATTTTCCAAAAGACCAAAAAAGTGAAAAAGTATATTTTAACAAAACGCATTTGACTAACAGGTCGAACAACAAATGTTCTTATATATATATATGTCTTATTAAAATTCTACCAAATGAAATATCCTGAAATTTGAAAGATTGGCCAATTTTTAGTATATAACCATATTCAAATTAACAGGCATATGTCCCTTAATTTTCTTTGCATTAGGACCCCTATTTTTTGATCCGCGGAAGGTCTATAGTTATCAGCTTGGCCGTTCTTCCATCCATCCATCCTTCCGTTCGTCACAAATCAGTTCCGCTCTTTAACTTTCAAAGCCCTTGGAGTTAAGTAAAGAAACTTGACATGAGTATTCACAACTACAAATGTGAATCGCGTACAAGGAAGAAAACCTTACGGTGAAGGTCATGGTCAAAAACTACAAAAAATTAAAAATAATCTTTTCCGCTCTCAAACTTTCAAACGCCTTGGGTTTTGGTATTGAAAAATGATTATTACTCAAGGACTAAAAGATGTGTCAAGTATACCAGGAAGAAAACCATACATGGAAGGTCGTCGTCAAAAACATTGAAGGTCGTCGTCAAAAACTTAGTTTATGTGCATATGTACACAAATTGTTTCAGCTCTCTTAACTTTAAAACCACTTGTAATTTGGGGATAAATTGGTAGTTCATGAGAAAATGTGGGAAGTAAATATGTTTAAATCAAACAACATATGACACTTTACTTGTTTACTCGAGATGCGACCCCTGTGGTGACTCCCATCGCCATTCTCTGGTTTCTCTTCTTTTCTTTGCCACATTTTGAATTAGAATAAAACTTTAACTTGAAATATTTTTTAAAAGGCGACAATAATTATAACATATCTGACATATTATACAACTTGGAGGGCCTTCTTCCCGACATATTATTCAACTTGGAGGGCCTTCTTCCCATATTACATAAATTTTACTGAACTATTTAAGTGTTTCAACTACCGTAAATTAAGTTGTTTATATGATACGAATATTGTACATTGCAGTCTACAGCAAACCGAATCAACCATTAGTAAAGGGCATTGTTTCAAACGAATTGAATACAGTTAATCTAGTGATATCGGAGAGAACGGAATATCAGGCAACAAAAAGGTATGCATTAGTTACACCATTATAATTGTATATATAGTACTACTAAAAGAGCGAAATGCTTCAAGGTTTTAAGCATATTTAATGTAACAACTTTTATGAAACAAAGTAAAATTTAAAAATAAACATAAAGATGAATGTAAAGATCGATGCATCTAAAACTTTTATCAAATGCTAACATAAAATTAATTCTTATAGAGTTAAAAAAAAAAACAATTGGAAACCTTGTTTCTGAAGAATCTGAAGAATATCAACGAAGGCCAAAAATCGTGCAGGTGTCGTGGCTTTCAAAATATGCATGGTTTCTTATGTATTAAATCGGAACTGGCGAAATGTTATAGAAATACATGTATATGATTTCAATGTACCGTTACCTTCAATGTATATTTATTCATCACTCTGCTGCTTATATACACATTCTGATAATTATTACTCATTTGTTGCTTTGTACTGATAAGTTTGTTCCCTCTCTTCGATGTATACTTTTTTCTTGTTATGGTTTTTACATGTATCCTCTTGAGTGTACACCCTTTGAATGGAGACATCTGAAAAATAAAAACTGTCATACAAGTTGGACATTTTGGTTCTTGAAATTATCGCATTCCGCCGTTTTCTCTTCAAAACTCTTTTTCAAAGTTAGTTTAGTGGGTTGCATAGTCTCTCTCTCTCTCTCTCTGTCTCTCTCTATCTCGATCTCGATTCCATGATTCTGTGTATTTATCAATATATATATATGTAACGTCGGTAAACTTCGACACCAAAACCCGAAAGTTAGTTTGCACGTAAAGTTGTCGTCCAACAATTACAGAATGATTTTTTGTCTGTCGTTTAATTTGGATTTCGTAAACATTATAATTACCAGAAACTCGTTTCATATGACTTTATTAAGCATCAGGAAAGTTTGCCAAGTATTTCCCACTTTTCTTTTATTCATAATTTATTTGAAAACATCTGAAACTATATCCCTGAAAACTCCTTGTTGTTTCTAAATCGAAATAAATTCAATTTGTTTTCCAAAAAGACCCGGATGGAAATACTTGAGGCGTGTTGCAAATGAATATCTGTTCATAAACCTCGTACTAGATAAAATTTATATACTAATATCACATTAACGAATAATTCAATTTTGTGTGAAAAAATTAAGATTAAAACATGAGTTGGACGAAGTTAAAATTCCACTAAACTGTTTTCCTTTGTAACCTCATCAGCGAAATTCTACGGATACATTTCTCATGTCACAAAAAATACTATACTGACCGACAATACAGTTTAACAGGATTGATATCGACCAAGTGGAAGTACTTATTATGAACAAGTGAAATTGACTGTTTAAAGTAGATGGAGACGAACATATAACACCGTAACAGTTTACAAAGGTTCTAGTAGGTAGAAAATACAATACAACCAGGGGTATCACATAAAAACATCATAGGAACAATGCAACCACGAGACAAATCAACAAGATAGGTGTATATGACAAACTAGACAGGCTTATGTGCACGGACAAACAAAACAGGTGTACGGGTGTACGGGAAAATAAGACAGGCGTAGTGTACGAACAATCAAGACAGGCCTAGTGTATGGACAAACAAGACAGGTGTACGGGTGTACGGGAAAATAAGACAGACCTAGGTGTACGGACAAACAAAACAGGCCTAGGTAGATGGAAAAACAAGACAGGTGTACGGGTGTACGGGAAAATAAGACAGACCTAGGTGTACGGACAAACAAAACAGGCCTAGGTGTACGGACAAACAAGACAGACCTAGGTGTACGGACAAACAAAACAGGCCTAGGTGTACGGACAAACAAGACAAGCCTAGGTGTATAGTCAAATAAGGAATGACGCTGACGAATACCAAATTTAATTCAGTTGTATGGAGCGGAAGCAACATTGTTAAGAAATAGTAATCGTCCAAAGTCTAGTAGCAGCCAAATTTAACACCAGACATATCAAACAAACGGTAGCGTTGTAAAATGACTTGTAACGACCACGTGGTACTGACAGTAAACAGCATTGAAGTTGACTAATGGTAATGATAATATCAAACAGCAGTTTTGTATAAAACTTCGATCGGAAGCATAGGAGAATGGAATTCAATAGAATAGCAAAAAAACTAACCAGAATACACATAATCTCGGCGTGTCAAAACATCTTCACGATTCTGCTTTATGTTGTTTCTATAGAATCCTCCTAGGGTTTTAACCCTGTTTCATGGCGCTTTTATTGGATCATTATAGGGTTGTTAAATCTACTGTAAAGCATTTTATTGGATCCTTTTAAAGTTTATTAACTCTACTGTATGGCAATATTATAGGACCCTCCTAGAGTTTTTAATTCTGTTGTTATGCGATTTTATAGGATCCTCAAAGTGTAATTAACTTTGTTGTAAAGCTCTTAAATATGATCATCCTCGTGTTGCTAATTCTGCTGTATGGCACTTTCATAGGACTCTCCTATGGTTGTTTATTTTTCTGTCTTTTTAGGATTCTCCTGGCGTTGTTAACTCTACTGTCTGGCGCTTTTATATGATTCTCCTAGGTTTATTATCTCTACTTTCTGGCGCTTTTATGGGATCCTCCTAGGCTTGTTAACACTACAGTGTGGCGCTTTTATAGGATCCTCCTAGGCTCATTAACTCTACTGTCTGGTACTTTTATAGGATCCTCCTAGACTTATTAACTCTACCGTCTGTTACTTTTATAGGATTCTCCTAGGCTTGTTAACTCTACCGTCTGGTATTTTTATAGGATTCTCCTAGGCTTATTAACTCTACTGTCTGGTACTTTTATAGGATTCTCCTAGGCTTATTAACTCTACTGCATGGCACTTTTATAGGACTCTCCTAGGCTTATTAACTCTACTGCATGGCACTTTTATAGGATTCTCCTAGGCTTATTAACTCTACTGCATGGCACTTTTATAGGATTCTCCTAGGCTTATTAACCCTAGTGTACTGCATGGCAGTTTTATATGATTCTCCTAGGTTTTCTTCTCTGTTGTATGGACCTATTATAGGATCTTTTAAACTCTCAACGGTTGTATGGCGCTTTATGGGACCCTACTAGGTTTGTTAACTCTGCTGTATGGTGCTTTATATGACCCTACTAGGTTTGTTAACTCTGCTGTATGGCGCTATATAGGACCCTACTAAGTTTGTTAATATATATATAAGAAGATGTGGTATGAGTGCCAATGAGACAACTCTCCATCCATGTCACAATGTATAAAAAGTAAACAATTATAGGTCAAAGTCCGGCCTTCAACACGGAGCCTTGGCTCACACCGAACATGCAGCTGTATGGCGATTTTTAGGACCCTACTAAGTTTGTAAACTCTGCTGTATGGCGCTTTATAGGACCATACTAGGTCTGTTAACTCTGCTGTATGGTGCTTTATACACGAGATTCCAATTTCGATTTTATGAATAAACTGCCACGGTTGATCTGGGGTAATTCTGGAGAAAACGGGATGGTACATTGTAATGTGATGATATTTGCGTTGTGACGTGAAATTCTTCCGGGGAAAGGACCAGCTTGAAAATCATATATTGGATCTTCCTGCTGTATGGCGATTTTGGAGTTTCCAATTTTATTCATTCATAATTTAGAAGATTACAATTTATTTATTAAAGTACAATTTGTCATATGACCAATCTTCTTCGTTTTCCTGTGATGTATATAGATTTCCGGTACGTTTTCCTATTCTGATACAACCAATTATAAAAAAAAGATTACTACAGTATCAAATACATTAAGCGATTGAGCAGACAGTGGAACATACTTCAGCAGTTAAAAAAGGTAAGATGGTTCTAATTTGATAATTAAAGATGGAAATTCATCTCATTTTACAGTTGCATATAGTTATCAATCTACAAATCTATGATTATTAAGATTTGAGAACAATTACTACATATACGAAGTTCTCTATATTCGCTTGGAGAAAATTGTCTTTACAAAATAAAAAAAAAAGTCAAATGTAGATTGAGTAATTTTACGACATGTAACATTGTCATCCGATTTATTGAAGCAGGATGAACTGCACAAATGTACCACCTCCATGCTACTGTACATCATTTGCTGTGTTACAAAGTTACGAGTGTACAGGCATAACTCGATCCGACTACAAACGGTAGATTCAACCAACAATGAAAGGTTTTACCCGACTAAGGATAAAAAGATATTTGTTTATAGCTTAGTTGGTTTTGACAAACTTCAGGATGTGTTGGCGCTAATGTCTCAGCAGCGTGAGTTCGAGTCCCTAAGAGAAAACGATACAAAAATGACAAAACGCAGTTTTAACGTAATGGTGCTAATGTAAAGACATGCACTTATCTTTGTTGCTTAACTACACTTGCCAAACGTTGACATTTTGACGATCTGATTGAAAAAAAACGAAAATTATAATTCTTTGTTTCATTGAGTCTGTCTTTAAACAGGTATTATTTGAAAAAGAATACAAATAATAATTAGAATACACATTGCAAATGTATATTTTATCCAGGTTGAGATTTTTTTATTGACTGCTTGCTGATCCACCATTTTTGTTTTTGTTTGTTTGTTTTTTAAACCACAAATGCAAATGATTTTAGACACCTGGACTCCTTCTGGAAAAGTGAAGTTTACAATCAGACACAATTTCACCACAGGCCGGAAACAAAATACCTTACTTATTTTTTCTGCTTTTGTTACGGAATAAAAGTCCAAAGTTTTCAATCATACAATTAAATTGATATCCGAGTTTGTACTGATGTATAGTGTTGTTTTAGCGTCATTTTTTACTATCAACTCTTTAAACTATTTCCATAAAAAAAATTGTCTATTGTTGACGACTATGTTGCCCTCTAGTTGTCTTGATATTTTGTTTGTCGTTAGGTTGCTGACTTATTGACACATAACCCCCTTCATCACCCTTCATCCATGTGTCACCTTCTTGTGTATTCTTAAAATCCGAAGAATCTAAAATAAATATTGTGTGGCCTTGATTCAAAATATGTTTTCTATATGTAAATACGTGAAATGTGTATCTTTAATTAAAATCTTTAAAGTTGAGCAACTTCAACATTTGTTTCTTTTCGTTTATTTGATACGTAGTTAGAAGCACTATGTACATATATACACCAATTTACAGGTCAAGTACGTACATGTGACTTTACTTCCTTTGAAAGTAGTCCAGGTTTATATTATATGATTTATATATTATAGCATGTGTAGAGGTGAAATATAGATGCTACAATTTAATGTCCACTATAATATACACTTATTGGTCATAAAAGGGCTATCATTTAACCACACAACAGGTCTCTTCCGTCTAAATTTTCATAGTACTACAAACATCGACTGTCTAAGATTTTTATGCACCATACATTGTGTGTTGTTCAGAAAAAACTTAAAACGTAAAATGTTATGAGCTTATAAGGAACGAATAAACTCTATGCAGCAAAGAAAGAAATACGAACTGAATGGATTCTTGAAACATACATTTCCATGAAATGACGAGGAAGGAACCAAATAAGAGGATACAAGAGTACTTTACTGTACCTCCTTGAGACTTTTATTTCCGGACTGGTTTAAGTGGTAACCAGAAACACAATCTAAATTAAGGAAGAAAATATTAAGATTAGGATATTATTTTTATGTTAAAAATTGTTAAAAGACATATAACTCAAAAGAAGGTAAGAAAAGTTAGTGATGTATCTTGGACTTAATATTTTAACTTAACAACAGATATGTTACACGATTTCCAATAATTTATCTTTATAGAAAATGTTGTTTGAAATCCTACTTGGAGTTGTGACAATCACCATCTTTTTATTCTACGGTTGGATCACGAAAGAAAATCTAAAGAATCTACCACCTGGGCCGAAAGGAGTGTTTTGGTTTGGATTAAAGATAGATATTCCGAACATGCATTTAGACTTTACTAAATGGTGGAAAGCTTTCGGAGATGTGTTTGAAGTGAAAATACTAGGCAGAAGAATATTAGTGTTAAATAGTCCAAAAACTATTCGAAAAGCCTTCGATTCTGAGGAGTACACAACCCTAATGAACCATAGACCGCCAAATTTTATTGGCTACAAGATCTGTAATCAATACAAGTGTGTTCTGCTACGAAAATATGACGCTACATTCAAAGCTATGAAGAAAGAAATGGTTAACTCTATGGATACCCATGGATTTCAGTCAGAACATTTCCGGTCACTTGCGGCAAACATGATGAATGACGTTGTGAAAGATTTCATCGACCTGAATGGGCGACCTATTGACCCCATGAATGTTCTTCGGCCGTCATTCTGTAAAATGATTGGAACTTTGGTTGGTATAAAAAAAATCTTATATAATTATTTACTGGTTTATGTCGTAAAGAATTTGTAAATGAGGTTTAGATAATTAACCACCTGCAAAAAATATACACATTAATCTATATTTAAACTCCAGGAAGTGGTATTCCTTCGTAAGCTGATAAATATGTATACTATGTATAACTAACCTTGTATAGATACCATATGCTTTGACAAGTCTGTATTGTTCCTATACATGTTATGGAAAAAAGTATAAGAAAAAACTCCAAGATAAATTGAAAAAAGGGAAGTCCATAAAAACTTACAAAATCAAATGTTATATCAACCAATGCGACAAGGTTAAACTAGTTCAAAATCATTACTTAAGTTTCGACCAAAATGTTCATTCGACAACAAATACCATTTGTCGAAACTCAGCAATGCTTTACATGTAATATCTATATTATATAGTTTGCAGGTAACTGTTCACACATACTACAACAACATGTTGATGACTTTGACAGTCATGGAGACCAAATGATCAAACCACAGATCCATGGAGTGTACAAAAAATTTCCATGGATACGATGGATTCCTTTCCAGTTTTACAAACGTCTTTATAAGCTTGTGCAAAAAATAAAAAAAGATTTACAAAAAGCACTGCTATTTGATTTGAGGGTAAGCAACAAAGATGAATATTTATTTGAATCCTGGAATTTTGGTAAAGGGAAGACAACTCGAAAGTTTAAAATGTCTATTCATACATTACTTTAGTCACAAATGCATATGAGTTCGTTACAAATTCTTTCTATTTATATACCCTTTTTAAAGTACTCGTGAAAAGGTATATATATACGTATACCTAGTTAGGGTTACTTATCATAATTTTAAATTGCATCTTATCAATAAAAATGCATTACTAAAAACAAAAAAAACTGTGAATAATGGAATATACATGACCATTTCATCATTTTATCTTTCAATAATATATATAACAAATAAAACAGAAAATGCGATGGAGATGCACGAGATAACGGTGAATGTTCACGAGATAAAGGTGGATGTACCCGAGATAACGATGAATGAACACACGATTACGGTGGATGTTCACGAGAGTACGATAGATGTACCCGAGATAACGATGGATGTACACACCATTACGGTTGACGAGATAATCGAGACCGATGGATAAACACGAGCTTACGATAAATGTACACAAGATTGCGATGGATGTACACGAGAAAACGGAGATAACAATGAAGGTACCCGAGATAACAATAAATGTACGCGAGATAACGGATAACGATGGATGTACACGAGATTACAATAAATGTACACAAGATTACGATGAATGTACCAGAGATAACGGAGATAACGATGTATATACACGAGATAACGATGCATATACACGAGATAATGGGGTTGTACACAAGATAAAAATCTTATATCAATACTTTAAAGAATAACATGTCTACGGAATACGAAAAGCTCTTTTATTTCTGTTTTCATTTTAACGGATTCTACAGTACTTATAATTTGATTAGGGGATATGCGTTTAATTTTAGTACTTAGCAAAATTATCAATCATTTCAAAAGATGTCATATAGCATTGTCATCATTAGGGACGAATCTATGCAACTCATAAAACTGAAATAACATAAACTAATTTGTCTTTCAGAACAGCTATAACACGAATAACATCAAATGCATGGTTCATCAGCTATTCCGATCACAGGAACTTCAGGCGTTAGAAAGGGGAAAGCCTTGGCTTACCGATGACCATATTCATGGAATCGCCATGGATTTAATTAACACATGTAAGTTGGTCAATGAACAAAGCATAAAGAATAAGTCATCATTTTATATAAACAATCATTTTAACTAAACTAGTATACTTTATTGTTTAGGGGCGACCCTCCGGGTGCGGGTTTTCTCCCTGTGTTGAAGACCTATTGGTGGCCTTGGGCTGTTTTCTGCTCTTTGGTCGGGTTGTTGTCTCTTTGACACATTCCCCGTTTCCATTCTCAATTTTAACTGTATAGCTTATATTACGCATTACAACTATGTCGAGTTTTGTGTGCGACACAGAGATTTCAGTGAATAATCCGGAAACAGCAGGGGTATATAAGACGTTTTTTTAACCCCAATTAGAACCTCAAACACGTCAATCAAATTAAATTTCGAATGGTTAAAATTTAACCACCTTAATTGATATTCGGTGAAATTTAACAGTTATATCGTGTTTAGGGGGGGGGGAATACCAGTTTTGATAAAAAAAATGTCTTTAGATTAATAATCGTCCCATTCTATAATTTTATTATGGTAACCTAATTAAATATTAAAGGTCTTTATTCAAATGTTTCTGTATAGGAGTATAAATGTATCTCTACTAGATGTATTATACAATCTCGTTATCGTTTGCAGTAGTAACAAAGTCACATATGGCGGGTGATACATGCATAGCGGATGATGCTTACCCTGTCGACGCACTCGGATGACGTTTACCCTGTCGACGCTCTCGGATGACGACGTTTACCCTGTCGACGCTCTCGGATGACGTTTACCCTGTCGACGCTCTCGGATGACGTTTATCCTGTCGACGCTCTCGGATGACGTTTATCCTGTCGACGCTCTCGGATGACGTTTACCCTGTCGACGCTCTCGGATGACGTTTACCCTGTCGACGCTCTCGGATGACGTTTACCCTGTCGACGCTCTCGGGTGACGTTTTACCCTGTCGACGCTCTCGGATGACGTATACCCTGTCGACGCTCTCGGATGACGTTTACCCGACGTTTACCCTGTCGACGCTCTCGGATGACGTTTATCCTGTCGACGCTCTCGGATGACGCTTATCCTGCCGACGCTCTCGGATGACGCTTATCCTGCCGACGCTCTCGGATGATGCTTATCCTGTCGACGCTCTCGGATGACGTTTAACCTGTCGACACAATCGGTCTCGTTCCTTTTGGAGTTCATACAAATTCCCCCGGTTTTTGTTTGATACCTTGATTTGTCTCTTCCTAATTGATTTACGAGACTTTCACATCGGTAAACTACTGTCGCCTTAACTTATATCTAACCCATGTTGCTGACTCCTTTCTCGATTCTTCACTCAACATATATGGGGGGAGGGGTCGGACCTTTATCGGGACTCCGGGATCGGGTGTTTTTAAGCTCGGAATTTCGGGATTGATCCTTTCGAATTTCGGGATGTCGGGATTTAAATTTCTTTAAATTCGGGACCTCGGGATTTCATGTTTTTAAGCCCGGGATTTCTGGATCAGGACCCCTCCGACCCCCCATCCCCCCTCATATATATATATATCACTACTTTATTTGCATCAGCTGATATTTAATTACGTCATTAAATCTTGCCAGCCTTTAAATCTTGCAAGATGTTGTTTTACCATTTTACAATTTATTACAGCAATTTTAACCACAAAGGCTGTCATGTCGGGGTTCATATTTCTATTGCTCCATTTTCCCGAGATGCAGCAGAAAATTCAAGAAGAGATTGACGATGTGATTGGACAAGATCGTCATCCGGAAGTGGACGATAGAAAAAAGACGCCATATATTCAAGCCTGTATATATGAATGCCTTCGGTACCAGTCTCATCTTCCCCTTACGGCGCCTCACTATAACAGAAAGAAAGTTGATATATTTAAGTTCACAATTCCTCCCAAAACCATTGTAAGTTCATAGATGTTTTTTTTCTTATAGAAGATTTAATGTTTTCAAACAAATTTTGGTAAAGCTAAACCTGTAATAACAATACAAACACCTTGAGAAACAGCAAGTTCATAAAAATACAAACGTATTATCATTATTATCATAATAATTATAAATAATGTTTTTTATTGCATCTTTGGCTTTTAGATATTCGTCTTTGAGCGTTCCTGGTGGAGGAAAACCCACAAAAGCGCTTCGGACGCATGCAATTATATGCAAATGTTTTCATTTTGTATAAAAGATAACAATTGTCTTACTCAATTTCAATATACACTATCTACCAAAGCATATTACAAATGACTAAATTTTGTTTTAATCATTGTAAAATTAGATATTTGGAAATCTGTTTGCCTGTCATCACGACGAGGAGTTGTGGGAAGATCCATGGACATTCAAGCCAGAGCGATATCTGACAGAAGAAGGCCAACTCATTGACAAAAAACATCCAAATATGACAAAGTTAGTAATGTAAAAGTGTTTTTTATAAGAAAGGTTTTTTTTCTATTCCTCGAAGCGGGGACCTCAGGTGCCGAGTGGTCTAAGTAGTCGAACTACTGTATTACTAGCCTATCAACTCTTAGGTTGTGAGTTCGAATCCCGTACGTGTCATGTGCGCTCGACTCTAATCTTAATTGACTACGATTGTTAGTTTTCCTACCGAATGTCGGTGGAACTCTCCGGGCAACAAAAACTGACCGCCACGAAAAAACACAATAGTGCTGAAAGTGGCGATAAACACCAATCAATCAATAAATCAATCAATATTTCTCGAAGCAATCGTACGCATAATAAGATCTTTCTTTTGATGATTGCTGCTCATATTTAGATAACTTTAGTCAGTCGTTAATTTCTTTTTGTTTTCAAGAAGACCAAACCAGGTGTAAATAAAGTCTCACAACTAAATTATCATATCAGCCTTTAGTGTAAATCATTAGCAGTAGATAGTAGTCATTATGAAAACATGCACAACTAGTACACATTTTTGTTTAGGGGCCAGCTGAAGGCCGCCTCCGGGTGCGGGATTTACTCGCTGTGTTGAAGACCCATTGGTGGCCTTGGGCTGTTTTCTGCTCTTTGGTCGGGTTGTTGTCTCTTTGACACATTCCCCATTTCCATTCTCAATTTTTGTGAACTTGGTCAAGGACTGCACATAAACGATATTTTTAAATACATGTCGTCGCTATAGGCATTCATAGACATCTTTTTGGTTTTTCGTGTTGTTATGTTGCTGTCTCGTTGACGTATAGGGTCCTCGGTGGCTGTGTGAAAAGTGTGTGCGACTCCAATCTTAAAGAGCAGGATTGTCATTTATCCTGCTGAAGGTCGCGAGTCTCTCCGGCCAATCTGGCTTCATCCACCAATAAAAACTGCCATTGCTGTCACGATATAGCCAAGTGTGCTGAAAGTGGTGTTAGACACCGACAATCAATCATATTGACGTATACCCTACATATGTTTGCATTCAAAATAATTGTCAATCACACATCAAAATTGTTCAACTACTGCATATGATTTGTTTTTTATTTCAGTTTAATTGCCTTTGGAGTCGGAGAGAGAATGTGTGTTGGATATGAAATGGCGCTTGATCGAATGTTCCTGTATACCACATACATATTGCAAAAATTCACGTTCGTTGTTCCGAATGGATCACAACTAAAATCACACGATCCACGCAATATGGTTTCAGCATCACCAGTTCTACTGCCGCCACCCTATATGTGTCGGGTTGTGAAAAGGAATGAGATGGGAAAAGATGAAGCTGAATAAGTGTGGAATGGATACACAAATATAGCTTTTGTGTTCACGATAAAATACGTTTTCCCGTCGTTTTTGGAAATGAATGCAGTACTACAGTTGTAACAACACAATGGTTTGAATAATGAGAAAACGTTTGTTGTGGTATTAATGATCGCATTTATTGTAAAACGTTCGATTCACTCCAACCAAATGTTTAGCAAGTTTTTGCATGCGCAGTTCTAAAAATATAACTGTTTAAACGGGATAGGCTTAAAATGAACATCTGCTTGTCATTTTTTGTTTAAATTATTGTCTAATAAATGTTCATGAGTTTTAGTGTAAATATACAGAAAAAAACTGTTTCTCAATTGTTATGTAAATATATATAATTTATGTTGTCATGGAAATAAAATGTCAATTGTAGTTGTTCTCAGATATAATTTGATTACCTTCAATAGGTTAGAAAAGACAGTAAATGTTTCATAAATAGAAACATACATGAAAACAAAGCAAATAAACATACACCATTATACATTGAAAATGTAAATAATATTTAGAAGCGTATGTTTGTTGTTGTGTATAAGTGTTTATATAGTTTGTATGAAAAGGTAGAAGCTAACAACATTTTTAAAAAGACACTAACAATTCTCTAAGCTAAAATCAGGATATTGCGATTAAAAATCTATATTTATCATGTGAATTACCCAATAGGATAAATATATTTGGTTTATGTAATCCTTGAAAGTTCTAAACATGTCTTTAAGAAAGGTTCATCGAACCGGCGTATACCTCATTTTATGGATCAGTGATCAAGGTCAAGTTTTTGTGATAGATACTATAGGCAATAATCAACTATATTTGGTGTATTGAAACCATCTAGCAGGGTTCATCCGATCTTTTTCTCATTTTCATGGTTCATGCGTCAATATAAGTAAATAGATTCCTTAAGGAGAACGCTTCAAACATTTCAAAGAGTTCTATTTGGAAGAGAGATTTTTTGTGACCAGTTTTCCAACTGTCTTAGGTGTCCAGAAAATGAAAGTCCAACCCTAATTTCACTCCTGTTTGTTGTTGCACATGCACACAAACTAGATTAGCCCTGACTTCTGCAAAAATGGGATTATTGTGAGTATGAATAGTCGATTACGGGGAGGACCTGAATTATTCCGGCAATACACCAACTTGCCGAGATAACTTGCATTACCTGTTCAGACAATGGGCAGAACCCTCTGTATCAATGTAAACGCACCTCCTCTTTAAATAATAGAAAAAGAATATACTCATTAGTCGGTTTTCTGAAATAACAAGATGTTATTGTTTGTCTAAATATTGCAGTGTCGGACTATATATTGGAGTTATCGGACTAACGGGGGATCGGACAATGATGGGGTGTGGATTAAAGGGGTGTTGAACTAATTGGGTGTCGAATCAATGAGCGGTCGGACTAATGGGTTGTCGGAATATTCGGACTGCCCCTTTGAATAATAACCCATCATATTTGTCGTGCAGATACCTGTTACTTTAAATATATACACCACACGGTTTAAGTTTTATGTTTCAAATCATGCTACTTGTTAAAACAAAGAAATACTTTAAAAATCTCATCTAGGATACCAGGTTTATTAATTGGTACGCTAGATGCATGTTTTGTCTACAAAAACATTATAGATTAGATCTGTACACCATTCTTGCAAAATTTGGTTAAAATTGAACGAGTGGTTTCACAATTAAGCAAACTCCCCGGCAGTTCCAGCTCCGATCCGCATACTACTCTACACTGATGGAGTGGAGTAAAGGGAAATAGTTCCGGAACGGAAACGACCACTGTTCGGAGTTTGACAATTAAGATGAACATTGGACGGTTTACGGACAGAGAAGGATATACGGATGTATAAACAGTCTATTTTTTAAAATCAACAAAGATAAAAATCAGATTAGAAAAACGATTAATTTTAATGCCTGGGACTAAGAACTACTTGCAACAGAGTCTGCTCTGTTCAAAAAAAAAATGTACACAATGCTATTATGGCGTATTCACGAGAAAAAAAACAAATTATTGTACAATTATATATACATATACATAAAAACAAACAATTACAACATTTAAACAATTATCACACATATTGTTAAAAGCTCAAGGTGCTTGAAAGAAATTGCACAGCTTAAGTTTCTTAAGAACCCACCATTGTAAGTTGGTTGTTGTATAAGAATGTATCAGTTTGAGCTAAATAATACATTGCTTTATAAGCCTTCGACATAGGACTATTAACATATAAAAATTCAAGTATTCATATTCCTAAAATATTTATATTATATATTACTGAAATGATACACGAATAAAAGTTACAAATATACTAAAGTTTGAAAGTAAAAAAAAAATCAAAGATTTCAAAATATCAATATATCTATAAGTTTCTGGTCTGTTCTTGAAGCTCCATGATACCAACATACCATTATAACGTGAGCAGTTAAAGTCAACCAAACCACAATCCCAACAGCTTTGTAGCAGTGTACAATACATCTATTATTTGGCATGAAACAACAGTTTATTTTTTTTTACCAATGACCGCTGATATCTATACAAACACAGAAGGCAATCACAATCACATTGTCTGCGAAATTCTATATAAATCTCTTGTGTTATGACCTGGATTTATGATAAATATGAATTCGGTGTTTCAATTCTTATCGGATAACTCATTGTCTTCTTTGCGAATCTGTGAAACCAAAATAAACGATGTAGCAGCAGCGATAATCTGAAATATTGCAAAAATGAATAAGTTAAAATAGTTATATTCCACGATAAAGGTAAGTTTGAATCTTATACGTAACAAAAAATAAAATGTCTGAAACTAATACATGTATCTTGCAATGAACGAAAACGAAGTTGTATCAAAATGAGGAGATTTTTATTGCCAATAAGACAACTATCCACCACAGTTAAAAGGATTATTACTGTACTACAAGCTCCTGACTTGTGACAGGCACATAAAGAATGAGACGGGGTTAAACATGGTTGTGAGTGCTCAATCCTCCCCTAACCTGGGACAGTGGTGTCACAGCATAACATAAGAACAAACTGTAAAAATCAGTTGCATAACTAACATAAAAGCAATAGACACAAAGCACCGAAATAAAAGGACCTGCAGTTACTGAAAGCTATAGTTAAAAGCCAATAACAACTAATAAATAAATCATGTTCTCCCAGACTAAATCATGTTGATTTAACCACTCTTCAATAGCGAGGTAAATGGGAATTGATATTCGATGACCATAAGTATCAGGGCAATCCGAATAATCAGTTACGTTTAATTATTATATTGAAGGGGGAGGTAAATAGATGTGCAATCCAAATAATCATTAATATTAGATTAATAACTGTATTGAAGCAGGAGGTAAATTGATGCAGTAGTAAGGGAGAGATTATATGACAGGGTCTATTCGTCACTGTCAAAAATTTATAAAATCATCATTAATCTATATTTTTTCGACATACAAATCAGTCAATTTTAATGCAGTCAGTTTTATCATGTTAACATGAACATTAGACAATACTATGCAGTATTTTTACAACTTTTTCCCAATAAACTAAGTTCGTATAAATAATTATATCTGTGAACTTTTAGTCTGCGTTGAAGGGTTCATTGTGACTGAGATGGAGAACGCTAGTAAAAGCGTTGGTTTTTTTGTTGCTGTTTTTTTTTTTTTTTTGCTTTTGGTTTCGTCGACAACGTGTTGGGATGAGGTCTTATGCATATTTTTAAATTTACCGAAAAATCATTTTTCATGTTTTTAACCCGAAAAGATGAAAATAGGAAACATAATACTAACCTGTACAATAAGAATTAATATACAGATGGCGATAAAGGCACTTGTGTATTGGTCCAAGAGTTGATTCAATATGTCATAACAACCCTAAAATAAAACAAATTAGCAACACGTCAAATATTGGAGATAATTTAGGGGAAAAGGGAAACTAGAAATTTTTGTAATTCAACAAGTACAAAAAAGTATCTGAATGTAGCATTAATATATGCATATTTGAAGTTTATTTAAACCAAAGTTTTCAAGTAATCCTCTGTATCATCTTGGAAATTTGTAAGTATAAAGCCCAGATATACTCACGTAAAGTTTATAGAATTAGACATAAACATGATTTAATTGTTAGCTATCTAATATCAGAGATATACGATACATTGTATTATATGTCTATGCTGATATTAAAATTCATGATTTAATTTTCTTACAAGCAGAGTATATGTATTTGTGTCCGACAATGAAAGACGTTACAATGCTACATAATGCTTTCACACACAGATTGCATTATTGTTCAGAAGTTGAACACTGTTTCTTATATCGTCATAACACTAACATTTTGGCGAATAATGCTTCCATGATAGAGCCAAACATCATTTGATAACAAAAAAAGTTTGTAAATTATGTAATTACAGGTTTTAAAGCTTAAATTAAGTTTTGAGCAAAATCCCAGAAACTCATCCTACATTAGCCATTGTTAGCATCGTACATAATATTACAGTCGATACATAAGAAATATTTAAAGCAAATATTTTACAAACCTCAATTGATATGTTATAGAAGCTTGAGTAGTCTTACCCTATCGACATAGCTCGTAGCAGGATTAACAGCCAATGTACATGGTTGAACGAAAGCTGTAGTAGCGCTGTCTGGTGTAGCTCCTTTACAACAAAAAGTTGGGACTACCCGTGGACCTCTTGCAGGTGTAGTCCACCATAATGTTGATATAAAATCGTTGACTTGGATTTGTTGATTTACACCACAACATTGAAACTGTAAATTAAGTACGTTTTTTTAAAATATGAAATTTGCATAAACATTTTTTCTTAGTAGGCGTGTTTCATAATCATATAGAATAATATATCCAAAAATCAGGAAAAGAATGTTTTAGAAAACAGAAACGCTGATTAAAAAAAATAAATTAAAAAACGACTGGAGCAAAGGATAATTCATTATTGGTGGTTTTCAATTAAAAATAACTGCAGCGAAGGACTGCCACTAGATGGTCTATTATTGGTGTTTTCATACGGAGTGAAAACACATACAACTTTTGTCAACAAATAACGTCAGTAACAACTTACTGTGAGAAACAGGAAATTCCAAGCGGTTGTGAGAATACTCCCAAAATCGCCTTCATAGTTTTGAATCAACTGTAACATCTTCTGTCTCAAGTTTCCTTGGAACTGTCAAAATAAATTATGACATTAGTTTCAAATACTAGTCGCTTATCGGATTCCAGATGAGAGTACTTGAACAAGGCTAATAAAACCCCGCAAAACACGTGTATTGAAAAGAATTATACAAACAGCGAGCATTTAAATTAAAGATCGTATGTGTTACAATGCTTTATTAATATTTTACAATGTATTCATTGCAAAAATAATAATTCCAAAACATTTGCGATACAAATAAATACTTAATGTCTGAACCATTCATTTTTTTTAACAATTATTCTGTCTGCATTCTGATAATTGTTACGTTCGAAGAAAATAACATTTTTCATTTATATATGTACTTACTTCTTGTTTTATTTGGAAAGAAACTCCCAGAACGGTAACTTCCAAAACTAATAGAACTATTATAATCACGCCATACTGAAACGAAATATGTATATATAATATAAGAACTAGACACGAATATAGAACGAGTAACAAACTCAATTTTCAATCATTCTCAGTTGTCTCATTGGCACTCATATCACATCTTCTTATTTATAAGAATAAGATAACATTGATTTAGTTTAATCTTTACATTTTTTGTCTTAAATCATGAAATATAATAATCTTTTATTTTTTATATAACATTCCATTCTTTTTATAAGTTGAATTGAATCATTTAAACAATTAATGTCAGTCCCCAAACTTTTTAAATTGTCGCCTCATTTTAGCTATAGACAATCTTTTATATATGCGAATTATGGTTGTCTTGTTTATAGTACTTATCATTTCACTTAAATATTTTACACTCGTTTGACATTATTATTATTATGATAACCCACTGACGATGAATGTATACATTTACTAACAACTGCATGCAACAACACTTACGATGATGAGCAACACTACCAGTCTTTTACAAGCTCCAACAATACCCATCAGAGACACAACTATGGAAAAGATCCCGGTTGCTATGACGATTCCGGCTACTGCTCGAAGTAAGAATCCCATCCGGGTATTTCCTATTTCTATATTGTCTAGCAAAGGGAGATAAGATTGTAAATATTCGCCTCCTTTCGCTTGGATTGCAATACCTGCCGCCATCATAGCTATTCCAAAAATCTAAAACGTAATTTTTAAAATTCATAGTTAAAAAAACTCATCAAAGATTCCAGGCTTATAATTTGTACGCCAGACACGCGTTTGTTCTACAAAAGAAATATCAGTGACGTTCGAATCAAAAAAGTTAAAAGGCCAAATAAAGTACGAAGTTGAGGAGTATTGAGAATCCAAAATATCGAAAGGACTTGCTAATACAGCTAAGGTAATCTATTCAAGGTTTAGAAAATCCTTAGTATTTAGAACAGTTCAAAGTTTTGTAAACTTTCTGTTTTGAATAAAGCTGTGAATTTGCGGGGGTCATGCAACAAGGTAGTCACATATCCCGTAATCTCTACACAAATTTGAAGGAAAATAAATACGCGACCGTTTGCATTTGTTTATCTAAACAACATTCGACTTTTAACATAAAGATGAGTTTTTGAAGTTTTTTCTTAAGCTACTTCATTAATTTTTCCAACATTGGAGATTTTTAATGTAAATAAAATAGTTGCACTTTGTAAAGGATTATATCTTTTATTACTTAACATATTAACATAGCTTATAATCATTAATTAAAATCTTACCACAAATACTATATTAATAGTTATAAGAAACACCATTCCGAATTTCCCCAACAAATTCATCTTGAAGTTGGTAGGTTTCTTAACACTGTCACAGAACTATATGTTTATTCCTCGAAAGTCTAGCTACGAATGAGCACGTTAATATAAATATCTTTATTAAAATATTAAGTATTTAAGAAATTAGTGAGGAATGTATAATTAGTCATGTAAGTGTAATATTTTGGGTGACTTCATTACAAGTAATCGATTCTGCTTTAATGACAGGTGACATCCAATTATTGATTGGGGACAAATCATGCTTTATAGAATGAAAAAAATAGGAGTGTGAGAAAGTTATATTTTGAAACATTTCTGCCTTTATGAAATAAACGGAAATTTAATATAAATATTGCATGCGTTTATCATTTCTTACAAGTAAAATTAAAAGAAAACGCAATCGCTATTACTGGATGATTTGAGCTCTCATATAGGTCTAGTAACAGCGAGATGTTTACGTTAACGGGATTTAGAATTCTGTAAATAAGGTTTAAGTTGTAGAAGAAAAAACTATTGAATATTTTCTTTGAAATATGTTCTTTGACATGTACATTGTTTTATCTGTGAGGGGTGCAAAATGAATAAATAAATTCGTTCGAATTCCATATCAAAACAAAAGTTAAAAAAAGCAGAGGGGTTCCTTTGTATCTTTCAAAGCCAAATCCATAGTTTGGGACACTGAAGTATCAAACATTATATTTTTTATTGCTTGCTATTATATTTTAGTAATTATTGTAATGTACAATTACAAATTTTTTTACCCGTAGGCTGTAGTGATTTAAAAAATATGTTATGTACATGTCATTAATCATTGCCCACTAGGGTAGATGTTAATGAATGATTTCAGATGTGGATGTTACAGCTTGATCTGCATTTTGACCTTTTATTCGTGTATACAATTAGCCAATGTGGACCTCATTTCCGCAATTCTAAAGATTGTTTAACATAATTAACAAGATTGGGCAACTATCTTCATACTAACCTCGATATAACTAACAAAAATCTATACTAAATACAAAAGTAACGGTTTGGAGGATTCTTCAGAAAAACCAATGTCCCAAACTGATAGATATAAAGTTTAGATTGTACAGGTTGTTCTCGCATTTTGGCCCATAATCTCCTCTTTGTGTTTATTTGCAAATCAATTTTGAACGCGCGATTGAATGTGAAATTCTCTTAACAGAGGAATATTCCGGGACGTTCACTGCTACATTCGTACGTTACAAAGTATCCATTGACTAAATAAACCATAACTGCAGAGATATACCATATGTCTCTGATGACTGTAAAATCAACTAATATACTAGTAGTTATTTTCCTCTTGCCTAAGTTAAAGGGGGGCATTTTTTGACGTCAAAAAATTAATCATATGGTTAGGAACAGTAGATTAATTTGGGTGCTAAAGCAAAAATTGTCAAAACTAGTCAACAGTGAAAAAAAAAATTGGAAGCAGTTTATCATACGCGTATATCGAATTTTCTGCTGAAAACAATTGATGGTCGTTTTCGTTGTGTATTCGAATTAAGTATTACGTTATTCTAAAGTTAAAAAAAGTATGATAATGCCACTTGTTGGTTCTTTGAACTATAAAAGCACATTGTAATATGTTTATATCAAATAACCACATTCAGACATTCATGAGACATAATTGTTAAAACACATGCTGTTGATCCGTACATGTAGATGTCTTTGTTGTTGATCCGTACATGTAGATGTCTTTGCTGTTGATCCGTACATGTAGAAGTCTGTGTGTGTTTTTGTGTCATAGGGTTGCTATCTCATTCACGTTTACATCTTTTATTCATATTAGTCCGTGATAAAATATACATGACTGTAAATATTCAAGACAAATTTGCAAATGAATACACGAAATTGATATAAAAATGTATTACTGCCAAGTTAGAAAATGACTATAGCAAGAACATCTGGTTTAAATTGTAGAAAGAGACAAATGGAGTCCCAAAGCACAGTCAATCGTAACTTAACGTGAAGAATGGTACTAGTCCTGAGTAAAGAAGCAGGAACTAGTCGTCAAATAAAGTGGATCTTTTCTTGATTACTACATGGTAGTTACCTATATAAGTTTTTTTAAGGTAGCATTTGTAAAAATTGTCGTTTTATTAGGGCCCCGCTTTGAGGATGCGGGAGCCCTATAGTTTCACGTGTCTACGCGTATCTGTCCGTCCGTCCGTCTGTTCGTCTGTCCGTAAACAATTTTTTTAAACGCAAAACTCCAAAAATATAGGTGGGATGCCAATGAAATTTAAAACAGTTGTGCATGATATGTCGATGTGCATGTTATATTTTTGGTGAAATTCGGCTCATTAGTTTGGGGAAAAATCTTTTATTTCATATCTGCTTGTACCACAAATTCCAAGAAATATTGATAACCGACAAAGCATACATTTCTTTGTTTGCATCAGTATAACTTAGTTGTTTCTATGCCTAAGACAAATATACCAGCAGTGCCCTTGCTGACATGTCAGTTTTATAGTTTAACGACGTCTCCTACTTAGTGTGATACACCGCAGGTTAAGTTTTCTACATGCAAACTTTCTTCCACAAAAGACTTGTCAAATTGTGATAATCTGAGAAAAATGTATTGTAAATAGCGAAGGTGAAAGAGCTTGTCATGTGTAATTTAATACTGATAAAAACCTTCCAGTCCATAGAACAATACCATCCTTCCGTTAGTTTACATAAGATAATTTTCTATCGATACGATGCATTAAATAACATGGTTGCTACTCTTAAAACAAAGATTGTACCTAAAACAAGATATTTCATTTATACGAGCATTTTGTAATCAGGAACTTACAAATGAATAAATATTTAACAATTTTCTTTCGAACTGAAAATAAGGTGTAATATCTGTTGGAGATATGGCTGAATATAGCTGTGGACAGAATTTAGCTCGATTATTTTTAGTGATATTCAATCTTATTTTTGTGGTAAGAAGTTTACATTTGTAAAATTTCAAATTTTAATCGCACCATACCTTTTTATGACTTCCTTATTTTAGTGATAGGGCATTAAAAAAATGTTGTCTAGGTACATGAGCTTCATAATAAACGGTTTGATTTTTTATTAAGAAAACGGATATATCTTTTGAAAAACTAAGATTTTTTTCAAAATTGAAATTGAGCTTTTTACAGAATTTAACTGTCATTCTAAGATATATCAACAATGCACATTGCTGTTTCATATATACATATGGAATTCTAGAGAAGATACAGTATTTTCCGGAATTCAATCTGATATGAAGCCTCTGATTAATTAAGATTTCGTAACGTTCCCAAAGATATGATGATATTTAATAGTCCTACGAGTTTTTATTTGAATTAAATCAGTAAAGAATTTCCTTTTTTTTCAATATTTTTTTTTTATATGTATGGAGATTTAATAACAGCAGTAAAATTGTAAGGTTTCAAATTTTCATGTTTGGTAGTAAAATACAGCTCAATTTAATGATATCATATTTGTCTAAATTTTTAAAATATGTTGAATTTTAGGCTTTCTCACGTCAATAGTCACAGTATTTTCTTGAAGAGCTTGTACACTCAAAACATAACGGGAATATTTACTTTGACGTAACCATTCTTTCTTTCTTTTATTATCTCTTTCATTGCTAGACAACGAATTAAATCTGATGCTTATTTTGTTGGCATTGAGCGCCGAGTTCCTTACCGCATAAATCAATAATCTTTGTTGAGATTATATTGTTTTCTATTGATAAAACAACAACAAAACAAACTAGAGGCTCTAAAGAGCCTGTGTCGCTCACCTTGGTCTATGTGCATATCAAACAAAGGACACAGATGGATTCATGACAAAATTGTGTTTTGGTGATGATGATGTGTTTGTAGATCATACTTTACTGAACATTCTTGCTGCTTACAATTATCTCTATCTATAATGAACTTGGCCCAGTAGTTACAGTGGAAAATATTTTGTAAAAATTTACAAAAATTTACAAAATTTATGAAAATTGTAAAAAATTGACTATAAAAGGGCAATAACTCCTTAAGGGGTCAATTGGCAATTTTGGTCATGTTGACTTATTTGTAGAAATTACTTTGCTGTACATTATTGCCGTTTACAGTTTATCTCTATCTATAATAATATTCAAGATAATAACCAAAAGCTGCAAAATTTTCTTAAAATTACCAATTCAGGGACAGCAACCCAACAACGTGTTGCCTGATTGGTCTGAAAATTTCAGGGCAGATAGATCTTGACCTAATGAACAATTTTATTCTCGTCAGATTTGCTCTGAATGCTTAGGTTTCAGAGATATGAGCCAAAAACTGCATTTTACCCCATGTACTATTTTTTAGCCATGTCGAACATCTTGGTTCGCGGGCGGGGTCATCGGACACTTTTTTTAAACTAGATACCCTAATGATGATTGTGGACAAGTTTGGTTAAATTTGTCGTAGTAGTTTCAGAGGAGAAGATTTTTGTAAAAGATTACAAAAATTTACGAAAAATGGTTAAAAATTGACTATAAAGGGCAATAACTCCTTAAGGGGTCAACTGACCATTTTGGTCAAGTTGACTTATTTGTAGATCTTACTTTGCTGAACATTATTGCTGTTTACAGTTTATCTCTATCTAAAATAATATTCAAGATAATAACCAAAAACGGCAAAATTTCCTTAAAATTACCAATTCAGGAGCAGCAACCCAACAACGGGTTGTCCGATTCATCTGAAAATTTCAGGGCAGATAGATCTTGACTTGATAAACAATTTTACCTAGTCAGATTTGCTCCTAATGCTTTGGTTTCAGAGATATAAGCCAAAATCTACATTTTACCCCTATGTTCTATTTTTAGCCATGCCGACGGACGACGGACGCCAAGTGATGAGAAAAGCTCACTTGGCCCTTTGGGCCAGGTGAGCTAAAAAGGGATAAAAATGGTCTCCATGCATTCTCTAAAAATTGCAAATCCAACATAACTGTAACGCAAGTTTAAAAATGAACACGGAAATAAGTTGTGAGTAAATTGAGCAAAGTCATTCAAAGATATACAATCACCAGATTTACAAAAATACGA